CGAGAGAGCGCTGTGTGACTGATATTAACCCCACTCTCTGTTTCCCCCCAACCCCTCCCTCCTGCGTCGTCTCTCCACCCTCTTTGCAACTCTTCTGTCTTCCTGGCTCTCTGGGCCTCCTCCTTTCTGTGTCTTTCCCTGTGTCTCTGCCCCTTTTGGTTTCTTTCTGTGCCGCTGTCTGTCTGTCTGTCTCTGCTTGTGCTTCTCTCCGTGCCCGTCTCCCTCTCTTCTCTGTTTCTTTCCTCCTTTGTCTCTCCAGGTTGGGTGGAGAAGGAAACCTACTACTGACCTCAACCCCACCACATCACCCGTCTCTACCCTGCCCCTCAAGCCCAGGACAGCCCACTCTGGTCCCCCTCATTTTGTATTCTGGGGGGAGGGGCCCTCTCTCCCATGGGCCCCGCCCCCTCAAGTTATCTCCCGCCTCCCTCCCCCTCTTCCCCCTCTGGCTGGCTTCTCTCCCCGCCCCCGCCCCGCCCCGCCCCTCCCCCTGCCTCTCTCCTCTCTCTCTTTTGTGTGTCTGTTCCTCTCCCTCTCCTCATCCCTGCCACCCAGCCCCCTCCCTGGGCTCTTTTTTACTCCCCCTCACCCCCTGGCTGACGCCGTCTCTGGTTCTGGACAATTATCAAATATATCAGTGGGGACAGAGAAGCCGCGTGTGTGTGTCTTGCTTGCTTTGTGGACCCGGGGTGTGGGCAGGACGGTGTTCCCTGTGCTGGCACCCGTGGCTGGGTGATTCACAGAACCCCAGGAGTTTAGCCTGGCATGAGCTTGGGAGTCATGGAATCTCAAAGTCATCAAATCATGGAGTTGTAGCCCCACGAGGGTTACAGTGAGAGTACCTTGAATTTGCCAGGAGATGGGATCATGGGATCAGAACAGGGGAGAGGAAGGGGATCAGACTCTGGATCCTCTCATATTGGAGAGGTACCCAGGGAGGCGATGATGCTAATGGTTCACTGAACTCCCACCCCGTGCTGTCCTCTCCTAAGCACTCTACGTGTACTAGCTCGCTCAATCCGCACAAGGCACAGAGAGGGAAAGTGACATGCCCAAGGTCACACAGCTGAGAGGTGACAAATCTGGGATTTGAACCTAGGCTGTCCAAGCTCCAAGTCACTATGCTCTTCTCTCTCTTTTTGTTGAGATAAACTTTCACACAGTGACGTGCACAAGTCTCAAGGGCACAGCTCAATGATTTAAAAAATTACTTCCATGTAGCCACTAGCCATAAAGTTCTCTCATGCCCCTTTTCCAGTCAGCCCCCCTCCAGAGGTAACTGCTGAACTGCTTTCTGTCACCATCGTTTAGTTGTACCAGTTCTTGGACTTCGTAGAAACGCAGTCTTACAGCAGGCTGTCTCATGTGTCTGGCTTCCTGTCCTCCACACCATGTCTGTGAGAGTCATCCACAGTGTTCCATGTATCAGTAGCCTGTTCTTTTTCATTGCTGCGGAGTTTTCCACTGTGTGACTATTACACGATTTGTTGATCCATTTTCTTGTCGATGGACATTTGCTGTTTACACTTTGTGTGCCTCTAGGAAGAGGCACATTCTAGTAATATCCTCTGATGACACATGTGTGCATCTCTGTTGGGTACATGCCTAGGAATGGAATTGCTGATTGGGGGATAGACAGTGTGTATCTTTAATAGAAATAGCCACACCCCTTCCAAAGCTCTTGTGTCATCTGCATTCCAGCAGTGTATCAAAGTTACAGTTGCTCCACATCCGCGTCAACACTTGCTTTTGTCAGTCTTTTGAATTTTAGCCCTTCTGGTTGGGCAGCTCTACCACTTCCCTCAAGGCAGCCTTTCTAACACAGCCCAGAGACTGGAGTGAGAGGAAGGCCTGGGCTGGTCCCGGGCCTGCCTGCCTCCCAGCACAGGTGTCTGGGTGGTCGGGATGCTGAGAGTCCACCTGAGTGTGAGTGTGTGCACATGCCCACTGCACAAGACGATGCTGAGGAGGAGTGCCTGAACCTGAGGGGCAAGGCAGTCGGAAGGCAGCGGCCATGTGTGCCAGAAACGCCTGTGATGCCCAGGGCAGAGCCCAGTCCGGTAAGGGTTACGTGAGCCTGGACCTCTCCTGGGGAGGCCAGAGAAACTATTCATCAGGTACAGGGTAAGAAACACTCCCATAGACGGGTGGGCAATCTGAGGCCCAGAGAGGGCAGGGACTTCCTTGAGGTCACACAGCAGAAAAATAACCCAGGTTTCTGATTGTCTGTGCTAATGTCCTCCTACCCTCCCAGCTCCACTTCCTCCAGGGCTCCAAGAGGCAGGAAGGAGGCCTCAGGTGGAGGGACGACAGGGCCAGGGCCCATCTCTCATAATCTTTTCAGGCACCCCCTTATCTCCCACCATCCCCCTAATTCAGGGCCCACTTGCCATAGGTCCCTTCTCCCCCAGTCTCCCCTCATCCCCCTGTCTCATGGATCTTCCCATCTCTCACAGTATCTCCATCTTAGGGCCCCTTCTCCCACAATCTCTGTTTCAAGGGGCTCCTCCCCCACATTGCCCCTACGCCAAGACCCCTCAGAACCCCCTGATTCAAAGTTCCCGTCCTGCCCCACTCAGAGGGTTCCTCTCCAACAGTGTCCTTGCCTCTGGACTCCACCATCCATGGCCCATGCCTTTTGACACCTCCAGGACTTTGCCTGTTATGTCTTCTGCTCAGAGCACGTACTGGCGGGTTATGAGTGAAATCACTTTTATTCGTGTTCCTATGAGGAAACCCCAAAGCCCTCATAACAAAAGTCAAACCCCAATTTCCCCAGGTCGGCCCTGGGAGAAGGCAGCTGGACCTCTGCTTCCAACTCTCTGCTCCCCAAGATTCATCTTCCTCTTGGGGGCTCTTCTGGTTACCCCTGCTGCTCCCATCACTTTGAACTCAGGCGCTGCTACCCCATTAATGCTCTGGGCTAACTGTGGACTCACAGCCCCCCCCCCTTGATTTCCTGAAGCCCAGCTCGACCCAAGTGGGAAACCTGAACAAACTTCTACTAAAAGCCTGGGGCTGACAAAGAGGAAGTGAATGGTAACTAGCCAACCTGATCTTCAAAGTACGGCTCATTCGGCTGCAGCTTGGGACCCCCCTGCCACGCGCACACAGGTGGCCTCCCTCCTATTGCTACACCAGCCCCTTCGAGAGGGTCATCTTCCCCACCTTGTGGGGGATGCCCTCCAGCAGGCCTCAAAGCCCAAACCCAAAAGGAATGTGATCCTTGGAAGACAGAGTTGGAGTTAAGAGTCACCTGGATCTCCCAGGTGAGTATTCTCCTTCAGCTCCACCCAACCTTGGAAAATGAGGTCCTCAGTCTGTGTAAGGGAGCCCAGGCTTCCCAACACTTCCACACACATTTCTTGAGGCATGCTGGTGCACCCTTCTTTCCCACAGCTCACTCAGGGGCAGGGGCAAAGACTGAGAGAACTATGGCTGTGAGAGCTAGGGGAAAGAAAGGTCCATGTCTCAGATGCCAGCCACTCTTTGGGATATCCAAGGGGCCAGCAGCCCCTAGTAAGTTACTGCTAAGTTTGAGAAGACTGAACTCTAGAAATAATCATAACAGTCGTGATAATGTAGTGGCAATAACATGGACTACCATTTATTGAGCAGTTATAAAATATCAAGACTCTTTCAAGCACTTTACGTGGACCATTCAACCCCATCTCAACCCCATGAGTGTGGTACAATTACAGGGACGAACAAAATCGGACTGCAGGTTGGATCTGTTTCTTTTACTTTAACCTTTGCTTCTCATTTGCTTTTGTTCACTAAAAGGATACTGTCTATAGGGAACCCTGCCCCTCTGCTTGAATGTTAAACCAAAGTGCCTTTGTTCAGGGAAACATCCTGACCCTGTCCACCTGTGAATGGCTGCAAGAAAGAAGAAATTAACACATCCCCTCCCTGAGGCTGGCCATTCCAGGAGATATCTGCAAGACTTATGGCCTTTTTACTTCACTTCCTCACCTCCTCCCCTTCTCTGTTCTATAAAAGAAACTGGCATCCAGACCCCAGTCAGATGGTCTTTTTGAGACACTAGTCCGCCATCTTCTCAGTCTGCAGGCTTTCCAAATAAAGTCGCTATTCCTTGCCTCAACACCTCATCTCCTGATTTATTGGCCTGTCCTGCGGCGAGCAGAGCGAGCTTGGACTTGGTAACAGTACCACCAGGATCTTCACTGTCCAGTTGAGGACACCGAGGTTCAGGGAGGTGATGAGGTCAACACAGCCTGAATTTTGACTTCTGACCCCAGAATCCCAGCTCTTTTCGTTATAGCAACTCCGTCTTTTAAAAATTCTCACCCCTTCAATAAAACTAGAAGAAAATAAAATGATAAAAATGAAAAAAAACTCAACCCTTTCCTTTCCCCCACTTCCCTCCGTCCTATCCAAAGCAGGGGCATCCCTAGGTCCCTAACCCTAACCCATTCATCCTTGGGAGCCCAAGGTTTGTGGGGGGAGCTTTGCCCCCTACCTTAGATGCACCCCCCTCCAGCAGCCATGGCCCCAGCACTAGCCTCTTGAAGAAGGAAGAAACAGATTCCCACAAATTCTCTACAGTCTCGCTATTCAAAATGTGGGCCATGGACCAGAAGCATCAACATCACCTAGGAACTTGTTAGAAATGCAAATGAATGGTCTCACCCTAGATCTTCTGAGTCAGAACATCTGCGTGTTTTAGCAAGTGTTTTCTTTTATACCTTCTAGAGTCAGAATGACAGCTCTACACGGCCTCCATCGTACCCTGCATAGGGGAGTACACAACGTTTTCTGCCTTTAGAGCTCCGGCTTCTGACTTTAGAGCTCGCATAACGCCCTGACTCCAGACAACCCACCTTTCCCACAATGCCCAGAGGCGTCACTTTACGCGACTACATCTCCCAAGGTGTTTCGCGAGCCATACCACCATCATGGCGCCCACGCTCTCCGACATCATCGGGACTACAGCTCCCACAATGCTCGGCGGCAAAACTACCGCCCCCAGAGGCTCCAGACCGGCGCCACGTCCGCTCCCGCTCCGCTGGGTGAGGCCAGGCTCGGGCGGGTCCCGCGGAGTGTGCAGGGCCCTGGGTTCGTTACAGCGGTTCTTTCCCTCATAGCACAGACATGGCGGCCGAGAAGGACCAGCAGAAGGATGCCGAGGTGGAAGGGCTGAGCGCCACGTGAGCAAGCTGGATCTAGCCCCCCTGACCGAGACCCGGGAGGCCTGGTCCCCCGCCCCTTCCTCCCTGGGGTCCTAGGAATCCCGGCCTCCAGACACATGAGTCTGGGCCCCTGGTGTCCTCTTCGAGGACTCTGGAGTCTGGGTCCTCAGCCCCTTTCTCCCCGGGGATCCAGGAGTCTGGGACCATATCTTCCCCAGAACCCCGGAGTCCGGGCCCCCTCGGTCCTCTTCTTGCTCGAGGGTCCGGGTTCCATCCCGGTCTATCGCTGAGCTGGCCCCGCACCCACCAGGACCCTGCTGCCGAAACTGATTCCGTCCGGCGCGGGCCGTGAGTGGCTGGAGCGGCGCCGTGCGACCATCCGGCCCTGGGGCTCCTTCGTGGACCAGCGGCGCTTCTCGCGGCCCCGCAACGTGGGCGAGCTGTGCCAGCGCCTCGTACGCAACGTGGAGTACTACCAGAGCAACTATGTGTTCGTGTTCCTGGGCCTCATCCTGTACTGTGTGTGAGTGCCTCTCCGGCCCGGCCCCGCGCCCACCAGGCTGCCCGGCCCGCACTGGCCGGCCCCGCCCTCAGCATTCGGCCCCTCCTCTCACTGGCCAGGCCCCGTCCCCATGGGGTAGTTCTGCCGGACCTTTTGACCGAAGGGCCAGGTCCCTACTCCCGCATCAGCCTGGCCAGGATTCAGTGTGACCAAATGTGACCTAGACTTCCCCGGCCCCAAGGACGTAGCCTGTCATCCGCCAGTGTAGAAGGTCAGGGCCTCCGTGTCGGGCCCAGTCCCAGCTGCCTGACGCATGCCTCCCTGCCCTCTTCCAGGGCGACATCCCCCATGCTGCTGGTGGCTCTGGCTGTCTTCTTTGGCGCCTGTTACATCCTCTATCTGCGCACGTTGCAGTCCAAGTTTGTGCTGATGGGTGAGAAATCCCCTGCCCTCCTCAAATCCTGGTCTCTTGGAATGCAAGCCTTTGACTCCAAACCTAAGTCCTTGTGAACCCAAGTCTGCCCAAGCCTAGATCTACACTAGATCCCCCAAACTCAATCCCTTAAAGTCTCAGACACACCAGATGCTTCCACCCACTCTCAGCCCCCCAAATTGCTATTCCCCAAGCCCAGAAGATATCCCAGAACCCACCTCCACCTGCTCCTGTCCCTTAAACCTCCTCCTTCCCTCTCCCTCCTCCCTTACCTCCTGCCAAAGGCATCAGCTGCAGGTACCCACATTGGACACCAGGTGGCGACCTTACACTGGCCTATAGCTGGGCTCCCCTTTCCTGCTTCCTGGGGTGGAAGTGGAAAAATCTTGGGACTTCTCAGAGAGGAAAGCTGAGGCCTGTGGCTCATGTGATCCCAGACTGGCACCAAGCACCACTGAGAAGAAAGAGGGGCCTGAGTTCCCAAATATGGGAAGCTCAAGGTTTGGAGGGGGGATAAGGGGGAATTGGGATCAGACAAACAGGTAGAGCTAAGACAGAATCCTTCAGAAGCCTGCCAGTTTTGTACATGACAAAGGTGGGCTGGGTGGAGGGGCATGTCGGGCAAGCCCAGGGCATGGAGGGAGCGCCTGGGGCATAGACATGACGTGGCTTCAGCCACTGCTGCCATCCCTTGTAAAAAATGACGAAGAACAATGATCCACGGGTTTCCATCCGAGGATACAGAGGACTGACTTTATTGTTTTGTGAAATCATCCAGGGACTTCCCTGGCGGTCCAGTAGTTAAGACTCCAAGCTTCCAATGCCGGGGGCCCAGGTTCCATTCCTAGTCAGGGAACTAAGATACCGCATGCCGCACAACACCCCCCCCCCCCCAAAAAAAAAACAAAAGAAAGAAAAATCATCCAGTTTCTCGGTCAGCCACAAATCAAATCAAATTCTTGTGGAATAATATGCAGACTCAAAAGATACATCCACGGCCGGGGCTTCCCTGGTGGCGCAGTGGTTGAGAGTCCGCCTGCCGACGCAGGGGACACGGGTTCGTGCTCCGGTCCGGGGTTCGTGCCCCAGCGGAGCGGCTGGGCCCATGAGCCATGGCCGCTGAGCCTGCGCGTCTGGAGCCTGTGCTCCGCAACGGGAGAGGCCACAACAGTGAGAGGCCCATGTACCGCGCAAAAAAAAAAAAAAAAAAAAATACATCCACGGGTCAGACTTGGCCCTTGGGCCACCAGTTGGAGACTCTAGGTCTACGGGAGTGCAGGTTGGAGCAGGAGAGCTGTAGTCTGGGGAAAAGGAGGCTGGGAGCTTCCTAGTAGGAGTGGGGTTGGAGGGTGGCGAGGGGGCTGAGGAAGGCCCCTTGTATTCCCACGGACAGTGGGTAGGGACATTGGAGACATGGGTGGGGCCCATGGACTTGGAGGGCCTTGGCGCTAGGAGTTTAGATCCTGAGGCTCCCGGACAATCTGGTGTCTTGTGACACCAGATTGGTGGTGGTGGGGGGGGGTATCAGGGGTTACTCTGGGAGAGGGCGTGAGTATCAGAACAGCTGCCCCAATGCCGTCTGCCCCCAGGCCGAGAGGTGAGCCCAGCCCATCAGTATGCTCTGGCTGGGACCGTCTCCTTTCCCTTCTTCTGGCTGGCTGGCGCGGGCTCCGCCGTCTTCTGGGTCCTGGGTGAGTACAGGGTCTGGGTAGCGCTGTGGGCAGTGGGGGCCAGATGAGGCAGCCAGGCCGTGAACTGCCCGTTTTCCTGCAGGAGCCACCCTCGTGGTCATCGGCTCCCACGCCGCCTTCCATCAGGTGGAGGCTGTGGACGGCGTGGAGCTGCAAATGGAACCTGTGTGAGGCGGCTTCAAGGACCTGCCAGCCTCCCGGGCCAGCTGCCCTGTCCCCATTCACCCCCGTCCTGCTCAGCTCTGCAGGTCTGGCCAAAGGCCCCCTTCCCATTACAAGCCCAGGGAGGGACTCCAACTTTGGAAATAAAACTGTTAACAGATGTTCAGCTAATATTCTCCCAGGGTCTTCTGGGGGTCTGTGCTGGGTGATACTGGGATCCTGCAGAGGCCAAGAAGGTTGGGAGCGAGTGGGCCACGGGCATGATGGGAGGAGGGTGGTGGACAATAAACAAGATGGATAACAGATATGATAGGACGGCCAGTGATGACAAGTTCTAAGGAGGAGAAAAGAGTATGCAGGGGCCCCCGAGACCACCCCCATATTCGGTGATTTGCTAGGAGGACTCAGGACTCAGTATCTAAGTTGTACTCACAGATGTGATTTTTTTTTTTTTAAGCTAATGAATTGCCACTTACTGGGGCTTTATTTTATTTTATTTTTAATTTATTTATTTTTGGCCGCGTTGAGTCTTCGTTGCTGCGCGCGGGCTTTCTCTAGTTGCGGCGAGCGGGGGCTACTCTTCGTTGCGGTGCGCGGGCTTCTCATTGCAGTGGCTTCTCTTGTGGAGCACAGGCTCTAGGCACGCGGGCTTCAGTAGTTGTGGCTCATGGGCTTAGTTGCTCTGCAGCATGTGGGATCTTCTCAGACCAGGGATCGAACCCCTGTCCCCTGCATTGGCAGACAGATTCTTAACCACTGCACCACCAGGGAAGTCCCCAGATGTGATTTATTATCATGAAAGACTATGAAGCAAAATCAGCAAAGGAAAAAGGCACATGGGGCGAAATCCAGAGGAAACCAGGCACAAGCCGCCCAGAGTCCTCTCCCAGTGGAGTCACCTGGATTGAGTGTAATACCCCCAGCAGTGAAATGTTGTCCTTGGGGAAGCTCATCAGAGACTTAGTACCCAAAAGGAAAGCAGTTGTTCAGAATAAACAACATCGTTTGCACAGTTTAGACACGAGAGCCACTCTTTCAGAAAGTGGTGAGAACCGTGCTGAAACCCAGGTTCCCAGATACCAGCCAAGGGCCACTACGCAAGCAGGCCTCTCTAAGGACAGCAGTCTTGGGCCTACTCTGTTAACTCTTCCTCATAGAGAAAGTTCTGGAGATGAGTTATAGTTTAAAGAAGACTTCCCTGAGATGATGTTGAATGAAGACTTAAATTGAGTGAGGGAGCCGCCGCAGATCTTTTGGAGGAAGAATGTTCTGGACAGAGGAAGCAGCAGGTGCAAAGGCCCAGAGGCAGCACTGTGCCCGGAGGTTTGAGGAACAGCGAGGAGGCCGGTATGGCTGGAGCAGATGGGCGGGGGGGGGGGCTTTGGTTTTCCTGAGTGAGGTGAGTGACACAATTTGCTTTTCATTGTAACGTGAAGGCTGCCGTGTGGGACTGCTGACAAAAGAGAAGTGCACGTGGTAGGGAAAGCACTTGTCAGGTGTGACAGCAAAGTGAGGTGACAGATAGGGTCTGAAAAGCTACTTCAGATGGCGCTGGTCTGGGGGCGCTCTCCAAGGAGGTGGCATTTCAGTGAGCTCTGAGGGAGGCGGAGCCAGCCACAGGAAGAGCTGTGGGCCCAGTGGCCTAAGCAGAGGTACAGCCAGTGCCCAGGCCTGGCAGTGCCTTCCCCCGGCCTCCCCAACTTCGTGTCTCCATCACCAAAACTCACCGGTTTATCGTTCATTCAGCAAGTGTTTATCGGGGGCCCGCTGAGTGTTCAACATTGTTCTGGAATCCCGTCACGTACGGTGGCCACCAGCCACATGTCGCTGAGTACTTGAAACATGGCTGGTCCAGATTGAGATGTGCTGTGAGGGTAAGATACCCACCAGATTTCAAAGACTTAGTAGGAAAAGGGCGTAAAATATCTCGTTAATAATTGTGTATATTGGTTATGTGTTGGAAGGATAATCTGTTGCATATGCCAGGGTAAATTATTATGTTCACCTTTTTCTTTTACTTTTTAAAATGTAATTCGGTAGAAAACACAGGGGACTTCCCTGGCAGTCCAGTGGTTAGGACTTTGATCCCTGGTCAGGGAACTAAGATCCCGCATGCCACGCGGCACGGCCAGAAAAAAAAAGAAAATACAACATTACATCTGTAGCTCATATCCCGTTTCTACTGGACACACTGGCTTAGATGCTGGGGAACCAGCAGTGCCACAAACAGACGTAGGCCCACATTCATGAGCCAAGCAACAACCAGCAGGAAGCTCTCAGCAAAGCCAATGAAACAGGTGAGGCTGGAGGGTAGCTGGGGAAGGAGGGACTCGCTTAGAGTGGAGGGGCAGGGCCTTGCTGAGCGATGAGGAGGAGATTGCCCCTCAGAGGTCTGGCGGAAGAGTATTCCAGCCAGAGGGAACTGCAAGTGCAAAGGCCCTGAGGTAGGACCTGCCCAGTGACAAGGCAACACTGTGGCTGGGGTGAAGGGAGTGACACAGGAGATGATGGTGGGGAGGATGTCGAGGACCAGATGAGGCAGGACCTGCAAGCCACGGGAGGGCTTTGGATTTTAGCTTAAGGTAATGTGGAACTGTGGAAGGCTGGCTTTTGAGCAGGGGAGGGACAGGGTCAGGTGTGAACGCTGGAAATATCTCTCTGAGAGACTTCCCTGGTGGTCCAGTGATTGGGACTCCACGCTTCCACGGCAGGGGGCACGGGTTCAATCCCTCATGGGGGAACTAAGATCCTGCAAGCCGTGCAGCACGGGCAAAAAAAAAAGAAGAAGAAGAAGAAAAAGAAATATCCCTTCGGTGTCGTGTAGGGGATGGGCTGGAAGGAGTGAGACCGGGGAGGATGAGCCAGGTTGGGGAAGATGAGGCAGGGACGTGGAACGGAAAGGACGGACGGGAAGGCAGATTCAGGAAGGTGAGGGTGGGCGCTTGGCGACTGACCTGCGTCGGAGCTGAGTGGGAGAGAGCAGGCAAGGGTGACCCCCGCACTTCTGGCAAAATGGGAACATGAGGGGGCTTGGGTGTCTGGGACCACTCTGTTCCCAGTCACCAGGGGCGCACTTCCAGTGGCTGCCACCAGAGGGCAGAAAAGGGCTTCCTCCAGACCTTCTCCGGGGAGGGAGCCAGGGATGGACTTGTCCTGGCCGAGGAGACCTGGGGTGCCTGAGGAGGAGAGTCTACTCAGAGGCCAGGGTCCCAATCCCAACTTGGGGGGTGGCAGAGGGCATTTAGTTTGTTAATCCAGCCGCCAGTATTCCCAGGGGAAACTGCCCTTCGGGGTGGGTGGTCACTCCGTCCAGTTTCCACTGCAGGGCCTGGAGTCAATGTGGTCAGGCTGACTTGTTTGGAGGTGACAGAGGCCGGAGGCCCAAGGACCTGGGACTGAGATCCCTGGGGCAAGGGGTCAGCAGCCTGGGTCTGGGGGTTGGTTGTGGGAGGCTGAGACTCAGGCCAGAGGCCTAATCTGGACGTGACTAACTCCAGGTCCCTAACTGATGTGGGGACCAGAAGCTTCCATGGGGGTGGGCAGAATGGGGGGGGGCCACTTCCCCCTCTATCCCTTCCTGAATGACCTTGGGGTGGAGAGTTTTGGTTTTGGGAAAGAGAAACTGGGGGCTTGGTGTCTCATCAGGGGACCAAAAATCTGGTTGTCTATTTTGGTGATAGAGGCTGGGGGTCCAGTTAGCTGGTTGGAGAGACAGATTGGGGCTCTGGTTGTCAACTTCATGATTAAAGAGCCCGTGGGCCCAGGTTTGGGGTGACAGGGACAAGGGATCTACTTGTCCAGTGTAGAGTGACAGAGTCAGGGAGTGCCTGCACCTCATTTGGGGTGTCAGACTGGCCATCTAATTGTCTTGTTTGGGGTGACAGCTTGGAGTCCAGTCTCTGGTTTGGGGTAATAGAAATTGGGTATCTTTTATCAACTTTGAGGTCATTTATCTAGCTTGGGGTGACAGACTGGGATTCCTGAGGACACTGGGAGTCCAGGGCCCTAGTTTGGGACGACAAGGTAGGGTGTCCCCTGGGCTGGAAGCAACCTGATCGGGGTCTGATTGTTTCTTGAGGTGGCAGAGACAGGCAACACTGTCTGGTTGGTGGTGACAGAGCCTGGGGATCCT